CATGGTTACAATTTTGTGATATATTGGTGTAACATATTTTATGTTTTTGTCTGAAATGAAGTGATTTATTTAACACTGGATTGTGACACCACCATTGCAGGATCTCATAAAAGGAGTCTAAGTCTTGGGGATAAAGAAGTAACCCATGCTCCACCAGCTTCAGAACAGCCTTTCAGGGACAGATCAAATACTCTAAATGAAAAGCCAGCACCACTGCCTGTCATCAGGGACAAGTATAAGGACCTAACTGGAGAAGTGGAGGTAAAAATTGTTCCAAAAACAATTGCAGGTTTACGAGGAGAGCTGGAAGTGTCTGGTATTTCCCTTTGACACTGTGGAAAGATGACTGTCCTCAGTTTCTAGCTTCAGAATCTCTGTGCCTGATTTCAGGTTTTGTTCTGCAGGGAAAGTTACATACAGTTAAAGAACAGGAGCAACGTATTTGCAAGGCATGTTCTGAGTCTCATATCAAGAAACAAATGGCATTGTGAAATTAATTTACGTGCAAATTAAGAGGGTAATAGTCACTAGTTTACTCGCAAATTGTATTCATCTTTCAAAATAAAGATGCATTTTATTTACTCAATAACATTTTGTGTAGCACAGTTTCACAGCCTGTGGAAAAGGTATTGCAAGCTAGATTTCTTGAGAGTTTACCTGGAATGTTAGAAGACTTTGACAGTTTATTTTTTCCCAGATCTAAAGTTTAAAGTAAGTACTTTTAAATTAATTTATGGGATGTGGGTGTCACTGGCTAGCCTGGCACTTATCATCCATCCCCAGTTGCCCTAGGGAAGATGGATCCATTTCAGCCTTTGTGGTGTAGAGACGCCCACAGCCCAATAGAAAAGGAGTTCTAGGATTTTGATCCAATAACACTGAAGGAATAAAGATATAGCTCCAAATCATGATGGTATGTGTGCTGTGTTGTGGGGATATTTTGTTACAGAATTTTAATTTTTATTTATGAACTTGACTATCTTGAGGTGATTAGTTCTGTTACCAGCCATATGTATGACCTGGGAACTTGGTAATATATATTTCATATAAAATATATGTATTTTGTTCTAACTTATACTGTAAAAGATGCTCAAATCATCTATCGTATTGACCATTATAAGTTTCACCTATTTTAGTATGATATTTACAGAAGGAGTTGAATTCAGTTTAAGATAATACTCAGTAAATCACTTTTGTTGCCTCTGTTTCAGGAGAATGAACGCTATGCTTATGAATGGCAAAGATGTTTAGAAAGTGCATTACAGGTGAAGCTTTCAACATTTTATTGAGCACTGCTCTGCAATAATATGTCACAACAAAATTGTACGCCACGCTCAGAAGTATATGGGCATTGTCTCACTAGACCTTAGTCTGAACTTGCTGTTAGTTAGCTAGGGATGCATTTGCATATTCACTTTCTGAATCAATTCCTAATAATGCAAAAGCGAGTTTACAACTCTAAATTAAGTCCAAAAGTTGACTTCTGCTACTTTTATGGGAACCCTGCACGGAGGACCAGCAGCACAGGTTTAATTCCTTCACTGGCTGAGGTTACCATGAAGATCCCGCCTTCTCAGCCTCACCCCTTGCCTGAGGCATAGCGACCCTCTGATTAACCATCCACCAGTCATCTCTCTCTAATGAGATAGCAGTGCTATGCAAAGATGGCAACTTTAGTTGAACTCTCTGAAATGTTCAACAAGCATTTGCTATGTGGCTGCAGCTAGTTGTATTAATTATGATAATGGTGCAATGCTGAACAATTCATCATTTGCTGTAAAAGTTGGTTATTGGAATGCTGCCAATATTATCCTAGTTTCTTGTCCAAAAGAGATACTAAATAATTGTATATGATGTTGTTTTGTTTCCACAGTTGAGTCTCGATTACGGTGAACACAACTTAGTGTGTAAAAAAGGGTATCACTTAGTATTTTGTTTTTTAACTCTTGATTTTTGTTTCAAACCTCTGTTTGGGTTTGAGGTGTCTCCAAAATAACATGGCTGTGAAGACAGAACACAGTAGCGAGCTTGATAATTTGATTCCTCTGGGATGCAGATCTATAATACTCCAGAGCACTGTTGAATAACCAGCCCACCCGGCATGGCGTGTGGAGAAATAGCATGTTGGGATTCTTCCCAGGCTGCTCAAATTAGGCTGAAATTTCATGCCCTGGTGAAGGGTCATGATGGAACACCCAACAAGAAGCTTACTAATACCCATGGCAGTTTTAGCTGGCTGAACACCACGGTGTACACACGGTGTAAACCTTTATTATAACCATCACCTCAACTTGCTGAACTAAAATAAAAGGGATGTTTCCTTTCAGGGAAAGAATATGTACTCCATGATAGGCATGTAGGAATCTAAACTAAAAACAGAAAATGCTGAAATATTCAGCAGATCAGACAACAACTTAGGAGAGAGTGGGTTATTTATTGAGCAGAAACTTGAGGATAATGGGAGGTGGAGGGTGGCAGTAGCTGAAGGGAAAAACAAGAGGTCAGCTACTGGCCTGTAAGAATGGCACTCCACAGCCCAAAATTGCACATTGGCTGAACAAACTCACTGGGAGAAGGTCTCCCCCTTGGGAGCTGCCTGTCAATTGGGTTCGCTCCACAGTGGGTGCTGCAGGGCCATATAATCCATCATGGATCACGGATACAGGCATGTCCAAGAGCTTTGGACTGGGAATTTTTGGTAACTCGGGAGGAGGCCGAGGAGATATATGTTCTTTAAAGTCTAGGTAAGAAGGAACTGAGGGGCTGACAAGTGCAAGGGGCATCCTCCAATGATAATACCCCCTCTTCCTTCCCACCATTTTAAGCACTTAAATAAACATTGTGAGAGCCATTCCCAACCAACGGCTCATGCTAACAGTATTGTGGTGTGGGTGGTGTAGTGTTGAGCTGGACCCTAACCATTTATTTACATATGGTGGACGAGCTGCCGTTGTTGACCCCTCCCCGTCTTCTGTATCATGGGGATGAGCTCAGTCGGCCAGCCACCCTCCACGTGTTACCCCATCCAAAACGCATCCTATGGGGGCACATAATATCAGATCTTATGTTTGTCAGAACTGAGGAAAGGGCATCAACCTGAAGCATTAACTCTGTTTCTGTCTCCACAGATGTTGTTTGACTTGTTGAGTATTTGCAGCCCTTTTAGTTTTCATGTAAGATCTTAGTATCTGCAGTATTTTTGTTTGTAAATGGAAATTCAAGCTATGTGGTTTTTTTTGGATAGCTTGGTCTGTGGATTCTTGAGCATCATGCTGACGCTCCGTTTACTAAAGTAAATAACATACAAAAACTGGAAAAGCTCAGCAAGTCTGGCAGCATCTGTGAAGAGAAATCAGAGTTAACATTTTGGGGCCAGTGACCCACCCTTAGATTTACAACATCCATGGTTCTTTCAGCTTTTATTTACTAAAATAAATATTTCCTTAATTGAATATTTGGTTGTATTATTTTGAATTGACTTGTACCTTTTTGTGATATTAATGTGAATTGATTTTTTTCTCTATTGAAAAAACCTTGCACTAATATGGTGTTTTCCCACATCCTCAAAACAACCTAAAATGTTTTACAATCAATGTATCACTTTTTGAAATGTTGCTTCATAAGTGAATATAGCAACCAATTTGCACACCGTCTCAACAAGCTGAATGACCACTTAATCCAAGGCTAAATGTGCTCTAATGATATGGTAGTCAATCAGTAGGAAATCAAAATAACTAAGGGAACTGACTTAATTCATCTGTTTACTGTTGAGAGTCATTTTCCTTATCCTCATAGGTTGAATGAAGTCTGTACTTGTATTCCTACTAAGCATTATTCATTATCTCAAACTAATTGGTTTCCTTAATTTTTAAAACTAGGCTCTCATCAGAAAAGATGCATCAGTTTTGAGAGTTGTAGTTTCAAGTCTTGAGTTTGACACATATCCATTACATAGAATCCATGGCGGGGGTGGGGTGAAAAAAGATAGAGGATGCTGATTGATTTTGAAGGAACAAGACATGTAAATCATTCAAAAGCTGCTTTCTGTTAAGCATGCAGATTGGCTTTTAATGCAAAAAGGAAGTCATGTATATCACGAGAATTTGAAGAAGGGCTGTTGGTGAAAACGAGTCAAATTGACTAACATCATGTCAGTGACAAATCAGACATAAACAAAAGTGCTTTCAGGCTTGAAGAAAACAATTGACAGGAAAATAAGAACAGGTATTGAG